CTACTTATCCTTCTCTCAATGTTGGGAATCCTTTCCGGCTCTTCCTCTCTTGAAAAACTCATTTCGTTTCTGAAAAAAGTACAAAATCCAAATATCAAGAACAAAATACATTTGCACACCGCGAAGATCCTGTCACAAGTGAAATGTCTAGCAATGTCATAGGAATAAGCGTCATACCAGAATAAGCATTTATAAGTGTGAACTAAGTTATATGCAGTGCCATATTCCGAAATTGTTATTCTCTGCATAAAATATTTTGTTACCGCAACTTTTTTGCTGAAAGAAGTAAATCCACATAAGATTCATCCCACTGGTATTCAAGGTCTAGGCGATAAAATATTAGACTTTATTTTAGTAGGCTATTGTTGATATTTGTATAAAAACACAGATCTCAATTTCCCCAAACAGCTTGTATCTCTATCGAAACGGAATTCTGGTTATTAGCAATAATTTTTCAGAGCTTCAAAAGGAAAACTAGTCCGCTTTTCACTCATATACAAAAAACCACACATCCCATTTAAAAAAGGTATACTATAAAAGTGGGAAGTACACTTAGTTAAATCCATCAGCATATCACCGCACGTTTTACCTATTTACCTTCCATAACTGGTGCAATTTCTTCAAATTGTTCCTTGATCCAGCTCCGAATTTTAGCCTCATTACACTCATCTATCATAATAAGAAACACGAACGTAACCATGTCATATGTACCGGTAGGCGTTTGCTAGAAAATGTCATTATTTTAAGCACTTGAATTCGAGTCGCTTGTGAAAAACGTACCTGGCAAATTCGCGATTAAATTGCTCAATTCTTGGTCAACAGTGATCAGCAAAGACTGCGCCCTAACGAGCTTCGACTTTAGAGAAGGACCTATAATTTAAAAAAGATCATACTAGCAATAAAAAATTTGAGGTTCTTTGTGTTGTGTGACTGTAATGAAAAAAAGATAAACTTGGGCCGCACCCTAGAGAATCCACACTAAGAACAGCGAATAGTGGTAATGATTTACTGAATTTCTATTATATTACCAAATTTTGCAACAAGATGTTCACCATAATGGATAGTAGCGTCAGTTAGCACATCACTCCTTTTATCAACAGACATTTCTTTGGTTATTGAGGAAAACTGTCTAAGAAATGACCAAAAACGCTCAACGCCTTCTCCATCGGTTAAACCAACATTCGCCTTTCTTCGTGGACTATATTTGACCTAAATTGAATGTGGACTTGAACGGTCGGTTGCCATACAACTTTGAAATCCGCCTTAAAGGAATTGTTCCAAAGTCCTAAAGATGCAGTTTATTTCGCATAAATGTAATTCTTTTAAACAATTACCTGGCAAGAGGCTTTATGCCCATAACAATGAAATATTGGTATTGCAAGAGTTGTATTCGACAGCAAAGACTGCTGGCCGGAGCCCTTCATAAAAAAATTGCATGCTTGTATTTAGAACATTATTATCATTAATTCTTGAATCATGCTGATTTTTGAAAATACCAAATAAAAATAATAAAATGCAATTATACACAGAACCTGCAGGTGGTTTGATAAAACACAGGCAATGTCGTACATCAGAACATAATTGAGTGATTCTGCAGAAATGCCAGCTTTTAGTTTTTCTAGCTCATATACAGCATAGGAAATTCTAAAATGATGCGAAATTTACTTACAAGGTGAATTCGCACAAAATGTTTTTTGTGCATTAAAATAGTTGGTACATAGAAAGTGGTTGATGATTACTGTAAAAAAAACCTTATAGATGTTAATGCTAATTACTATTCTTGACACAACTGAATATAAATAGTGATCAAATGTGATTAATAAGAATTCTAAAAACTATTATGGAATTTGGTCTAGCATGATAAAAACAGGGTATTCACAATATAGCTAACCACTGAAATAGTAAGTGATAAAAGAATGTACCTTTCACCATGTTTGATGCTGAGTAAGCTTTTTGGAAAGTCATGCCGACAAACCCTGCCAAACACTCCTTTTTCATCAAAAAGTTTATTTTTGCCTTTACTTCTAATTGCTGAAATTACTTCACCAGCATGAAATCTGTGACAGTCCTTAAAAACAAATAATATTAAAACAGTTTTTTGCAAATCACATTAACAAATTGCTTGCAACAAATCAAACGTCTTTTTAAACAATTACCTGTGTTTGTGATTTCTCTTTTGTGTGTTCATAATTATCAACAAAGTTATCAACATCATCTTGATCGCTGAACAACAATGTCTTGTGGCGTGAAGAAATGCTTATATCACCTTTCCCTTTCCTTCTTGGCAGACCAAAACATGCATCAACGCATTCAATTAAGGTTCCACTTTCCTATAGGTATATACATAGAATTGACCTTAAACATATATTCATTGATGAAATGAAAGAGTACCACACTGGGTGAACATATATACAGTGCATCACTATTGGTATCCCATGCAATGCAACCTAGGTATCTAAATCTCTAAATGAAACACTAATTAATGTAAATTACAAGTAAATTATATCAGTGTTTTTCACTAATTAATGTAAGTTGAGATAAGCTGGTTCTCATCTATTTTTAAGAGTTTCTTCTCTTAACCTATAACTACTACATGCATGACAGTTACTATAACATATTTGGAGATAAGCTGTTGTAGAGCCCTTCATGGCAAAATAATGGCAAACCTTGATTAAATAAATAAAAAATATAAATACTGTAACAAAGTAATTATTTCTTACCGTTGGGCATATAGGACAAATGACACCGTTATATAGTCCTGGGATATAGGAATCCAGATATTTTAATTTGTATTTAAAATATCTTGAAAAGAAAAAAAAATACCGGTACCTATATCTTTTATACTATTATAATAATTGTACTAATCATACTAATTGCAAATTGTATAATATAAAGTATAATATAACTGGGGTGTGCCAGTAAAAGAGAGGGTATATATCAATATAGGCATGACTTAATAAAGTGTACATACCTGTATTCCTCAAAAGATCCAGAATTTAAAGTGCGGTAAAAGGATTTAACCTGAAATGTAGAAAATAGTTTTTCAGTCTAAATTTTTTTCCTTCCAAAATTGATATTTTGGCTCTAAACTAATTAGAAAAATAAGGGTGGAATACATGCAACTGAATGATTGAAAAGTAATTCTGTATATTATATTTTAGGGTTTTGAATACTTACATGAACAGGTTGCAGTGATGGAAGTAATTCCATGATATATCCTCAGAAAAATCCTTCAAAGGAACCTGATTATGTAGAAACAACTTTTCAGCTAAATCCATAATTCTAAAATGAAAGCCAATAGTAGGCCTTTCTGGAGAGCCAGGCCAGAAATGCAACCGGAGTAGTGTCACAGCATGGCTTTCACAACTGCAAAAAGCCACTCGCTTCAAGTGTTGATTACCTAACAATCATAGAAAGTAGTAGCAATATTCAATAGCAATCAATAATTAAATTAAAATTATTGCAGTTAATTCTCACAGTCCAAATAATATCTATTGTTCCAACATACAATAGACAAGGTTGTTAAACAATATTGTTCTACAGCAGAAAAAATGAAATTACACACTTGTTTAGTTAATCCATGCAACTGCATTATATCTGAGGGTTAATTAATGATCATGGCATGGGGTTTCTGGTTATAAAAGCTCAATAATAATATAACTTTTGTTGAAATTTTAGCATGCAGCTTTTGTTTGTGTATTTATGGATGGCTAATCTGTTTAAAAGTTTGGAGAAATAAAACCTCTGCTTAATTAGGTAAGCTTTCCTATGCAACTTGATACTTAAGTTGTTGGAAAGTTTGACCTTGTAGATTTAGTAGCTTTAATGCAAACAAAGAATACTGAACAAATTCCTTACCAAATGCATCAATAAGTGTAAACAACTTGACAATTTGTGTCCCACAATTGTGGGCCCACTCAATTACAGAATTGTCTGGAAACAGTGGGATGAACTTAGTTTCCTAAGAAATAAAGAATGTAGGTTTTTTAAAGCAGGTTTAATTTGCCTGAACACATTTGAATTTTAACTTTTTAAGTCTTACTGAATGTGTGAAAATAGCATATTACAGTATTGCAAAAGACCAACATACAAATCTTGAAAATATGTAACATGTAGGTTGCAAATAGTTATTAAATAGAATTAGAAATTATAGAATGAAACGACATCTTTGACGTACGTTTATGCCATTAAATTGGCTTCTCCTTATAGAAAGCCACGGAGGAGAGCTTTTAAAAGCTAGCAAATATTATCATATTTTTAAAGTTTTTTTAATCAACATTAATAATAGACAATACCATCCATTTATCCATCACGTGAAACTTATTTCGACTTTCGTGTTGTTCAATAGCACAGTTCTCGCAAAAAAACTGCCGTGGACCACAATATTTACAGCGAATATTGGCTTCATTTTGAGAGCAAACACCACACATGACACCACTCGGTAAAATCGCATCTTCGAACTTTGCTTTCAGCAATTGAGGCCGAATTTTTTCCCAGTTGACATAATTACTAACATTTCTTCTTTGTGTGGCCGATTCTTCATTTTCTAAATCGTCAACGACTGGTAATTCATGAGGCGTTTGAGCGTTATGATCGATTTGCAAATCGCACGATTCGTCACTATGCAAATCTGCGTGGAGGCTTGTCGAATGCTTATTTGAAGCTGTTGTTTCTACATCAACAGTTAACGGTGTAGTTATTGACGATTTTCCATTTCTTCCCAACACAACAGTTTTTACGCACGCCTTTCGCATAATTGTAAAAAATTGCGCCGAAGTGAAGTGCGAAATTTTCTTGAATACAAATAAAATACAACCAAATCAAGATTAAACTGTTTTATATCAAGTATTCTGATTGGTCGCTTAATATTATATTGATGATCATTTGGCCTGGGTTAGACCTGCACTTCTCAATTGAGAAATCTTGGGTTACAGCCGCTGAGAATATGTGACATAAAGAGATAGCTAAGTTCGACAAAAAATTGCTTGTAAGGAACAAGGTAATGTGTGAAACTAATTCCTTAAAGATAACTTGTTGCATGGGAATCGACAGTGAATGAAACAACTTTACTATTTTCATAGGGAAAACGATAATTGTCTTGTGTGTCTTGCCGATCTAACCGTTCGAACTCTTATAATCTAACGTATAAGATTTATAGGGGTTACGGGAAACATAACTCGTTCTGTTTGGACAGGGTTTAGTGGACGTGGTCGAAAGAATAGTTGTTAGCATTACATATAATATATACTATATGCAAGCGTTGCGTATGCAATGCATTTGCGTGGGAAATAAGCATTTGATTGAGCTGAAAAAGCGAAGATAATGTATTTTTAGCAGGATAAGTTTATGGTTAAAAAGTTCCTCGAACAGGCCTTTGTACTGGATTCAATTTGTAGCAATAATACAAGTTATAGAACAGTAAATCTATATCATACTTGGTGATTGAGTTCCGAATATTTAATGACCGCGTCAAATAAAAACATTAATTGGAAGAGGCAGGACTAATTTATTTTATAGCGTTGTTCTTTGTAAGACAGGATTACGAGTTGCATCTTGCCTTTCCGTTTCAAAATTATTCGATAGAATTTCAACTATTCGATAAAACGTTTGGATGGGATTAAGCATACATGGTTACCTTGGCAATTTATGCAGGAAACTCTTTGTCGATTGGATTCATCGTATCGTACAGGCCTGCAAAAAGAATACAAAATATATATTGTATACTCAGGGCTGTCTTGTCAATATCTTCACAAACGTTTTCGAGAGCAAAACCATTCTCAATAACTCCTTGAGATCAGATTTGATACAATATATAAATGACATGCAAGTAGACTGTTGTTCGAAAGATTTGTTGACGATTTTTATTACGAATAATTATTACTAATAATTACTACACCAATGCCCCCATATATAGTAAAAAACACGGTTGTTGCATCAGTTAAGACGACATAAATTCTTATGTTTTAGCAAAGTGCAACTCTAGAACTGTTGAATTTTTCGAATACTTCAAAACTGGCTGTTATCTTTAAAATGACGCAGCCCGACAGTGATAATTATGTTGTTTTATGCAAGAGGATTTGTTCGATTTTAATACTCACATTTCCACAGAAAATCATGAAGATACAGTAGATTATAAAATTTTTAAGTTAACTAAAGGCTTAGATTAAGAAAGGACTAGGGCGCTTTCCTTTATATGGAAAAAGCGGCTAGACCGGTCCTGTTGTATTTCGGTACAGACATATTACTGGTATTTTAGTGTTTCAATATATCGTTATTTACATCTGCCTAGCACGGGAAATAAAGTTTCACCGCTATATTCTTAACGAAATACTCTATTTCAATTTAAAATATATGACGGGTTTGGCCATTTTGGCCGCTTAATGGAAAGCACTCTTATATGCATGATAACTGATCAAATCCTTTTTTCAGTGAATGTGCGCTCCCTGGGTCAGAAGCCTCCCTTTAAATAGCCTGACTCATCGAACTTTTTCAAATATTTCCGAAAACTGGCCGTTATGTTATAATGCCGTAACTGACTTTGATACATTGTTGTTAGACAATGACTTTGTTGGGTTCTCAAGTTGACACATTCTTACCGAAAATGGTGAAAAATACTGTAGATTATAAGATTCTAGGGATTTTAATGGCTGATAAGTTATTTATGATAGTACAAGCCCTTTTCCAACGAGGCTCCCCATGCATAAAAGGGTCTGGAAAGACTAAACCTACGGGTCTATAGGCAGAGAGATTTTGAATTGCTAAGCACTTCTTTGACACAGGAATAAAAGGAAACATGACAAACATGTCACGTCTTGTCATCATTCTCTTGTTGATCTTGGTAACCACGTCAACAGTGATGTCTGGCTGGGCACATAATAGCGGGAATCGCCGAAATAGAAGAAAAAAGGTAGGCAGAGAGTTTTGCTTTCCGCATACGTACAAAATATATGCAATCACAATTCCGAATTTAATTGAATTTAATTAAGACATAAAATTGACTAACGGTGTGGGGGTTTGTTTCTGAAAACCTATTAGACATAAGTATATCGCAATAATAACAACAACAATGGACGATTGCGCTTTAGACTAATTTCTTCCCCGGCGATATTTTCTGAAAGAGCTTACTAAAATTAGTAAAACTTACAAGTTTAGCTGCGAATTGTTGTAAATTTCGGAAAATATAGCCGTGCAAAGGTTACGAATTTTGTATACTTCTGTATTACAGCCGGAAGTGTGTAACTAATTTAGTTACACATTTCCACACGTAATACAAAAGAATGCCAAATTCAACTTCAACTGGCTATATTTTCCGTATTTTACAAAACTTAGCATTTGCACTAATTTAAGTAAGATCTTTCTTACTGTGGTGATTTATTTTCTTCTTGTTACTTCGATCAAAAATTAGTCGAAAGCGCTATTCGTCCATTGTCCGGTGCAGAATATATATACCAGTTGCGATTAAGCAGGTCTCGTATGTATGCCAATCTCCAATTAATTTAAACAATTTGCAGATTAAAGGAAGAATATGTTATTTAGCCACTTCCAAAGAAGTTATATACTCGTTCTTAACTTATACTAATTAAAATTTCTTCTCTCTACAGTAAGTATCAGTAAGTATATCTACCTAATATGAACGAGTTTTGTGATTGGCTTTTTGTAACAATAGTGAACAGTGTTGATGATTCGTTCTCTCGGTTCATCAATTTCTATGGTTCATTGTGTTTTATTGTTATCATCAACCAATAGCAAAGCTTGTTCATATAGGTACGTACAGACCCCATAAACTTGGTGTGACACTGCATGTTGAATCTCGAGAAACTGGTCTTCTATAAATTTTATCCTACATCGTTGTTCTTTTGCAGTGCAATGCCAGAAAAGGCACTTTCTGTAAGCGCATAAATAAAGGCAGAGTCACCTTGGACTTGACATGTTGCTCAGGAAGATGCAAGAAATACGGAAAGACGAATCGCGGAATTTCACTCTACGTATGTAAATGAAGCTCTACCATGCGATATGTTACATAAACATGCTACATTGACTTAAATAATTGTTTTTCTTTCGTGCAACTCTAGTGAAACTTAAATAATGTGCTTATATGATGTGAAATATGATGTAAAATATGATGTAAAAATTATGCAAAATAAAAATAGTAGCTATCATTACTTAAAGTCGTAAAGGAGGATTTCCATTTGAAGCGAAAATATACTTGCATAATTATATTCTTTTGAAGACACATTAGTTCAGCTTGACTGTTCTCATTTTAAAAGAATGTGCAAATATTTCGCTAGCGAACATTTCTCTGCAAGTGGAAATCCAGTCAATACAAGACTCTTTTTACAGCGACATCGTATCTTCCCGGTGCATGTAGAGGGAGGGGTTGGCATGATAACATAGACGATTTGAGTTTCAGCTGTGTTGCAATCAGTTCGTCCCTAGTCAACAACTTCACAGGCCTGATTCCGCGGGCACTTTTTCTCTGCGACTTCTTTTGAATTGTTTGTATATATATAATTTATTTAGAATAAGCAGGCGAACTATTTCACGCATCTCGCTAAAAACTTTGCCGGTGGAATTTTTTTGCATAATTTATTATATAATGAATGGAAAAGTTTATCTTCTTGGCGACTCTGTTGGCACTCTAATAAGATTATCTTTTTCATCTGATCAGATGACCTTTAAAAATGGTTGGCTCACTTTCACTTGCATTTTCTGTGCAAATACTTGCCCGATTTTAATAAAAATTAAACCATTTAAAAGAGAACATTCTCTTGAGTAGATTTAAGTCAATAAACGCACTTACACAACAGTTTTTATTTTTAAATCGCGTCAATTTCAGCGAAATTGGTCGCTTATACGCGAGAAATGGCTTACGATGTGTTTTTATCTCAGTAATGACCCATAGGCAGATGCTATTCAATAACGCAGGTACAAAATAAATGATCAGTTGAAAATAATGAGTACAGTTTTAATGAAAAAACTTTAAAGGTTAAAACACATAATTCGAAATATTCAATGATTATAACTACCAAAATCCATAAATCAATTAATTCGAAATAATCAATACGTTATAATTATATAATTATGCAAATAATCGATATGGAAATCAACTTATCAATAATAGTTCAAAAAATATTGAATTAAAAAAAATTATATCTGAATAAAAGAAACCAATTGAAAATAATAAGTGAAAGCAATTGATCGTTATCATCCCATTAGTTATTGTTTTAATTGTATTTTTCGCGACAAAGCGTAACGGGCCTAAATCTTGTGAATTGCTGCAAACTTAGGTACGCTTGTCTTACATTTACCTAAACATTTTCTCTTTTTAGATGTATGTACTTTCAATTTCTTCTGTTTTGAAACACACAGCTCATTGCAAAGCGATATATACGGGTCGCAAATATAAAATTCAGTCCGAAGCAGGCTATTTTGTCCTGTTTGCAGATGGAAAAAGAGCTGTCACTTTGAAATTACACTACCACGTTGTGCAATAACGTTTCTTGAAATACAAATTATGCAATAATATCAATCATGCAATTAGAAGGCTGGATACCATCACTATTAATGTACGAAAACGATCACTTTCAAAATGAAAAATTCCACGTCTTAAAGTGATTATTATATAGTAAAAATTCTAGTGCTAAAAAAATTAAAAGTTGTAGAGCCACACACATAATGCACACTTTCAAGGTTTACCCTAGAGGAGAGAAAAAACTTGTTATTCAAGTCTCCGTTTAAAGATAGAATTACTATTACAAACCATAAGCACTAAAAAATCCCTTCGAAATGAATAATCATCAATTATTAAAAAAAAATAAGAAACAAATCACATAAATGGTAAATACTTGATTTAAAAATCGATGCTTGTTTTGAAATAGTCAACAATTAAATTCAAAGTAATCCGCAATCAATTCATAAAAATAATCTATCTTCAATTTAAGAAGAATTTAATTTAATTTAATTTAACATCTTTAATTTAACAAGATTAATTCGAAAGAATCAGTGGTTAATTCAGATTTATCGTAATCAATTTAAAATAAACAAAAAACGTAATTCGAGATAATCAATACCCAATTCAAAATAATCAGTAATCAGCTTGATGCAATTTATTTGAAATAATCAATTCAAACTTCATCTACGCGATCGACCAGTTAACAGTACCTCCGAGGACGAGAACCACCGTGTGGACCCTTCCGGTTTGGGTGATATTGGAGGCGGCTGCATGGGAGGAGAAAACGCAGGCTATGTTAATTACTAAGATACCAGGGACCACATTTATCGACGAAAATCAATCAATGACAATATTCGGCATAATAATGTTTTAGTTGGTTTGCTAAAAAATTCAACCATTCACCCAGGAATTTAGAAAAAGAAAAATTTGGAAAGATTTATGCACGTAGACAAAGCATAAAAACTAACAACGGAGCCACACGCCCATGCATATTTTAATATAATCCATGTGTCGTCCATCCTTCATCCTTCCAATTTTCGTGCTCATAAAAGCCGTTTTTCATTAATAAATAAAAAATTGATAGACATATTTTAGGTAAAAAGACTGCCACATGCACTAAGCTGAATATTTCTGTCTCAAAATCTATAGTTTCATAGGTTAAATTGGTTTGCCTTTAACGTATTCTCAAAATCTGACGTTTGGTTGCAATTTTAATTTGGGCCTGCACGAAGGCCCACGGTTTTAATTCCGCTACAGATTTGAAATTATATTGAGATGGCTCAAAATAAATGCTAATTCCAAGCCGTCAAAATTCAATGTTATATATATGAATTATGAAATTTGATGGTTTGTTAGTTATGCGACTGCGCGGAGTTTGTAAAGACTGGTAATCAGCAACTTCCTGATTGTATTTCAATGAAAGCCTCAACAACTAACAGTCATTTTGCAAAATTTGTCGCATTCATTTGTAAAAAAGTTTTAGAAACTTTTGTTCAACAATGCATGAGCAATGAAGAAACGATTCAAATATTCTATAAGCCTTGAAACCAGTATTATGTTTAGATTTAAATTAAAACAATTAGTGGACAACTCGCTCTCGTTGTCCTTGAATAGTCAACTCTGTTTCTTCGCAGAAACTCAGACATTCCGGTATCGTTTTTACTCGTTAAATATATAGACTGGCGTAGATGATCAGACTGCATCATTTGCAATAGTTCTAAACTTTCTACCACAAAGCATCAATCCTTTTTGAAATAAAAAACACTCACCACTTCTTCTAAAGATTGTATTCTTCGTTCAAGCTTGGCAGCCATTTCTTCCATTTTTGACAAATTACTGGCACATCCCTCTTTCATTTCCTTGTGATGTCTGGTTGTACGATTCTCCATGATGTTAATCAGCTCTTTTCGTGCCATATCAGTCTTGTCGTCCGAATCCTTCTTGTAAGCCAAGGCCTGCGCTTCAAACTTCGCCTCCGCCGCCTTCTCAATTTTGATAATCTCTTTGATTTTGTCGCCCGCGAACTGATCAAGTTGTTCCTTTGCGAACTGGAAGTTTGAAACGGTCTCCTTACGAAGAGTTTCGCAAAACCTTTTGGATTTTTCGTGCAGTTCCGCGGCTGTTTTCTTCGCCCCCTCCTCCAAACGGCGTTCCGTTTCTGCATAACGTGCATCCAACTTTTCTTGTGCTGAAGGTAAATATAGTAACATCAGCGTCTCAGCCAAGGTTTTCATTCACTAGTATATGTTTTTTAGGTAAAATAGATGGAATTTATCGATGGTTGTGAAAATCCTAAGACAATAGACGGAGAAACAAGCAGTTTCCTTCGTGTTTTTGATTCCAATTTGATTCCTTAAAATTCTGTTTTCTAAGGTGCAAATTTTCAGACGATGGTCTTTTATTAGTTTAGTCTACAATCCTATAACTAAAACGTAGTTACGATAACGGTCTTGTATGAAGTTAGAAAAATAGAGTAACTTTAATTAAATTGCTCTAAAAACAAGCTTGAATTATTCTTTAACTCGAGCTATTTTCCATAAGACGCTGTCTAATGAATACGGACCGGTTGCGAACTTACATTTTCGAAAGGCCTCGTCGAGTTCTTTTTCTTTCTGACTGAACTTTTTTTGCATCGTCTCGAATTCCTTCCTCGTGTCCGCTTGCATCTTATCGAACACCTTTTTGAAGTTGTCTTCCATTTTAGATTTCAACTCGTTGTACTTTCCAAGCAGCTGGCCTTGGTATTTTGCAAAGGTTTCCTCGTAAAGTTTCGTTTTTTCTTCGGCGATCTCTTCAATCTTTAAAACCTTGTCACGTAATTCAACTTCAAGCAGGCTCTGTCTTTCTTCGAGCTGAAAAAAATGAGTATATTGTCTAAGATAATTTCAAAATCGTATCAAATGTGGTATAACAACTGCCTAAAGAAGACCAAAAATTTTTTTGGCGTTTCCACCAAAGGGCTTTCATGAATAGAGTTAATAGCCGATATAAGCAAGAAGGAATTTCGTTTTAAACTGATCGGTATATTTGTTTACCTTATTTGTTTATCATATTTGTTTACCAATAAGAATGTTTAAATTTTCAATACTTCGTTTAAAATGGTAAATAATGCACCTTTTTGCGGGAAGTGGTTAAAATTTATACATTCTGATTGGGTTACTGAAAATGTAAACAAACTTGCTAAAACGAAATCCCTCCTTGTTGTCTACATACCTAGATATATAACTTCTCACTTACACTATCAGTCCTGCGTTCGACTTCCTCTTGAGCTTTACTAATATCATTTTTCCAACAATTTTCCATATCAGCACGATCTAGCTTTTCTTTCTCCAAAATGCTGTGCACGCGTTCATCAATCTTTCCCGGGGCAAGGTGAAACTGCCCCCCACTGCCCGGGCTACCAGACGCCCCTCCGACCGAGGACACAGTTATAACGTCTTCGTTAGCAAACATATCACCTTAAAGTGTAACATTAAAACTCGATTAACTTTTTAAACAAACAAAGAATTACAGTTTCATCTTTTTTTAACTAAATCACACAGACGATTTTCTAAACAAAGAGAATTTAGTTTAAGATCAGTCAGCAAGTTTGTTTACGTTTTCAGTAACCCAATCAGAATGCATACATTTTGACCACTTCCGGTAAAAAGGTCATTTTTTACCATTTTACATGAAGTATTTTGGCACTCTGATCGGCTTTGCCTTTGATTTTCTGTTGGACTACGTCATTGATATACATCAGTTGACTGTATTGTAAAAATGATGCATGACCTTTGGTAAATAATTAATGTTTTTGTCCCATGAGACTTTCGATACAAAAATTTCTATTAAAAAATTAAAGGTTATATACAGGATGTATCAAAAAAGGCAACCACATTTAACTATTCAATGATATTCACTTTGTGACATAGACAATAGGAAGTACTTTGTACTATTGTGCTTAGTAACAATATGAATAATTCATTAAGTGTTGCCTTTTTTATACACCCTGTATAGTCTTTCAACATTATTTTGCAATGCAATCGAGAAAATGGTAGCAAAACGTTGTTGCAAATGTATTTTGCTATACTTGAAGTTCATACCTTTTGGCTGAGGCTTTTTCTCGTCTTGGCGTTTTAGGGAGCGTTCAGTTGCGGCCATTTCAGTTCCGTAGCAATATTTAAACACCGAAGTATCAGTATACTCTGCCTCGTATACATTCCCATCACGGTCAATGATGCCGCACCTGAGAAATATATCTCGCAGCATCCATGTCTTTTTCCCATTCTTCTGTAAACTTTCGGCGATCTCCACCTACAGTTTGAGAACGTTTATTGTCATTACAAAGACGATGATCGAAATTGACCACAATTCTAAAGGTAAATTTTGAAAATTGTGGCCACTGATTGGTCTGGCAAACTCGGATTATCGTTCGTTAATCACCTAAGCGGGTCTTTCAAAATGGCGGCGAGTTGTTTTGTATCAATGACATTAAAATTAGCTGGATCATAAGCTTGAGTTTATGTCAGTTTACCTCTACAAAATTTGGTGGAACTTTACTCCCAAGGTACCCAGTTCCGGTCGGACCTTTGCCCGCTTTCTGTTTCCATCCCGCGATAGTTGCGGCCGCGCGTTCTTGGAGATTGGCAATCTTGCCATCTTTGGGTTTCTGAGCGACAACGCACCAGACCAACTGCTCAGCTAGTGTAGCAAATTCTGCAGCTTTTCCTGAAATCCAGCAAAAATGGTGCCAAATATCAAGAAACTGACGAGTTTACACGATTAATTTCTCTAGTCTGACACTCGAAGAAGTTGAGAAAATTTGTACCTGTCTCAATTTCTTTTTCAATCAAAGAACTGTAAATGACGCCCACTGTAATTTGAGCCATTCTTCGAGCAGGGGAATGGAGACAAATTGAGGTTTTCGATGCATCAACTTGAAAATTAAATAAAGAAATTAAATATCACTGATTCAACATGGTAGAGTTTAGCCCACGCACGACCCTTGATTGAACGAAGTGGTACTTTTGTCAGCCTTGAATCAACCAAACGGTGTTCTCGCCCGTTGAAATAATGTTTTTGGTTACAACCCAGGAATGAAAACCACTTTGCTGATAACTTCGTCAATGGTTTATGATGCAATATCTTAACCCCGGTTTTAGAGAAAGTAAATAATGATACAACGATACATGCTTCATGCCCACGCTGTTCCAACAATTACACATCAGAAAGAACGTTGCATTGGGGGAAATATTGATGTTTTAGGGTAAATTGTACTCAAGGGTCGATTATTCTTGCAGAAATTGCTAGCCTTTAGCAAATCGAACCTTAATCTCAAAGTTTGCCGACCTAAAAAGATTTACGCACGTTACCTATACTCGTTGAAAATAGAAATGACTTGAAATAATAAAATAATATATAATAGAACTTACTAGGCTCAGCCAGGCACGTTATTTGATCACTGTACCAAAGCGTTAATCTGTAAGCGACATCTGTACAAATGTCTACTTGTTCACCTACAGTCGCAAGACACGAAATATATTGCCCAATTTCTTTCTGACGGTATTTGTCAATGTCCTTCATCACTTTCGTACCAGCTTTGATGAAAAACTAAAATGCCATTAAACAGTAGGCCATTAAAAGGTGATACTAAAGTGCCCTCGCCTTAATTTTGGTGCCGATATCTGCGATTTGGAAATTAACTGTAATTTAGGTATTATAGTAAATTAATTTAAAGTCGCTGTACTACAGGATACAGTTTTCCTTTCAATCCTGTTGTTGAGAAATGTAAGTTAGTAACGTGTATTTTTGACGGATGTAAATTAGTAAAATATAAGAAAACATCCGTGGAGGGTATAAACACAACACAGACGTCAAACGTCGCTGCATTGCGAGTCTCAAAAAAATTGTATCGCATGACGTTGCACTGGGAACAAGGCTTTTAAAGATTGCCAACCTTAGTGACTCTCGCTACCGTGGCGCCAACCAATGGATCAAGTTTGAAAATATCAAGGATACTGCTGACTGTTTCAATCTTTTTTGCTGTCTTTCCCAAACTACCCGCAGTTGCAATGGTCATCCCGCTTGCTACGGACTGAAAGAGACAACAAAACGTCAATATAACACTGTTCTTTGGTTCTCTGAAGGAAAGGTTTGGGAAGGTTTCGCACCCAAAAGCACCGAATAAGGAAAATAATTTGGTTTCAAATTCACAGAAAGCTACTATTTATTTATTTCGCATAAAATATCATTTTTCACCACAAACCTTTGCACCGAGGAAGATTTCTTCCACACCGAGATACACAGTTCGATAAAAATGCAGAAGGTTTATATGTGTGGCTTCAAATCTCTTGGAAACTTCATAATGCTTGTTCTGCCGATTTTCTTGGGCCTCCAAGATCTTCTGCTGCGCGTGAAGAGTTTTCACATCATCCTGCAGTGTTATCATCTCCTGCCGAATACGATCGCGTTCTCTGAAAAAACAAGAGATTTCGCTATCATAATAATTTTTAATGGGACTTAATAAAATACAGAGCATGCAAAAACAAGAGTATAACATGTATTATTTTACATTCATACGGTATTCCCGTTTCCGATTGGTCGAAACCCTCCAAATAAATCTCAATATCTGGTTAAATTTCATATTTTCAGCGGTTGTGACGACATAGCGAGGGATATTCATTTTTTGGATCCCCGCTGATCCAAAGGCATGGTGTTAAGTAGATTGGCAACTTAATTAGTCATATAATCATGGTGTTCAGTACATTGGTCACATTAAACGAGGAAAACGATTATTGAATTCGGCTTTCGCATATCAAGAATTATTCAGGCCTCGGTCAAAGTTTGAAATAATTCTTGATATCATGCTCAGCCTCATCCAATAATAGTATATTATATAATGATGCAGTTTAATACCTTCCCAAAATAAAGAGCACGTATAAAATAAGTTTCAAAAGCTAAGCCTTAAACTCTGTACCTTGCGGATTTTTCTTCGGAGAGTTGAACTTTCATTTGCGCAATTCTCTCGAAATACTCTCGATCTCTGGCCTGCATGCTTTCGCGTTGTTGTTTCAGACCAGTCAACTCCTCCTGAACTCGTATAAGATCCTCTTGGAACTGCGCCTTCAGCTGGTTTAGATCGTCAACCAAAATCCTCTTTCGCGCTTCCTCTGCCTAAATTGGTAAAATTGTAAAGGTTTATAGAACATTTTATCTGATGCAAAACTATACATGGGTGGTAGCGAGAGCACAAACTGCTCTAGATGCAGGTCTGGAAGCTCTTCTCCACTTGTATCCAACCTCATACAGCTGTTTTATTTCGTTTACAGGGAGTTCCGCCATAAATGGATAATGCATCAAAACAAAATGTCTACGTTTAGCTTCGTTTGCTTTGCCTCATACAAATTTCAAGAATATTCCTGTTCATTAAACTATTGTAAATAAAATAGTCGAATTATCGCAATTGATAATTTCAGTGACCACATAGTTATATTTAGGCGGGTTCAAGCGGCACATATTTGACCCCAGTGGAACCAGAACTGGTATATTTGTATTACCAGACTCCGTCGGATGCATGCAGAAAGCCTCCCCCTTGATTTTAAAGATTACCTAATATCTACCAGAAGGTTTCAGTCTAAATTGATTTGAGCATCTTAGGCTAAACATTTTGCATATAGTTATGGTGGCACTGGTCAGTTTAGCGATATGAAATACTTCTTCACGTATTTCTCATTTTACCTTCTCATCCATGTTCGTGAAGAAAAAATCATAACTTCGAGGATCGTTGGGATCCAAAGCATAACCAGTGATTTGAGCGCTCAAGCTTCGTAGAAAACCAGTCAAGATGACCTGAAATTGTCGAAATTTATATTTCAATAAACTCGCTATTACGAACTTAGCTTTGCCTGGCAAAAATCAATTCAACGATACGCAAAGTCTAGATCAATGCTAGTTCAACAGATACAACTTACTTGAGATTCCGCTGACCCAGTTAGTTTATGTTCTGAAGTGTCCTCGATTAGATCTTGGTAATGTCGATACAGTTTCTTTTCAACTTCCTTTTGCTTATGTCGTACACTAAATTTCATCATTTCCGCGCAATTATTGACTTTTTCGTCTCGTCTGGAGTAAATCTCCTCGATGAATTCCTTAATGATGGTCATATTGCAGTTCTTGACGGCACTCAACAGTTCCTCCAACTTATATTTTGGAGGTTGATATACTTTCTTGCTTTTGTCTTCTTTAACTTCACCACCCAATAACCTGGAGTTAAATTGAGTTAATGCGTCATCTAAGCTTTTTAGACTGCTTTACTGAAAAAGAACATTAAAAGGAACGCGGCTGCCCTCCTCTCTCCTAAACATGTCCCTCCTCTCTCCTAAACATGTCCCTCCTCTGTCCTAAACACGTCCCTTCTCTGTCCTAAACACGTCCCTCCTCTCTCCTAAACACGTCCCTCCTCTCTCCTAAACATGCCCCTCCTCTCTCCTAAACACGTCCGTCCTCTCTCCTAAACATGCCCCTCGATCCCCTCTCCTAAACATGTCCCTCCTCTCTCCTAAACACGTCCCTCCTCTCTCCTAAACATGCCCCTCCTCTCACCTAAACATGTCCCTCCCCTCTCCTAAACATGCCCCTCCCCTCTCCTAAACACGTTCATCCTCTCTCCTAAACATGCCCCTCCTCTCTCCTGAACATGAGTAGTTGAAGTTACGTGGGAATTTTAAAGACTGCCTTTCTGCTTTTGTTAAACGTAAATAACTGGTTTCCCTACTTTGGATTTTAATCACATGAATGAGGGTGAAGTCGCAACAAGTAAAACGTTTGGTTCAGAACAATTTCAGGCATAAACGCACGACTTTTGTATCTACTATTGTGAAAAATCGAACTCTCCATACCTGACGACCTCTTGATGATCAGTTTCTTGAGCAATATCGAGCGGAGTTTTCCCTTCATGATTCCGAATAGTTTTGTTGATATTTATCTCTTGTATCAAATACTCCACGACGGCGGTGTTGCCTCTGCTTGCCGCTATGCCCAAGGCATAATTACCTGTGACATAAGCGAGGCAAGCGTTAACATGCGAATTTTTATTTTGCTAACATTTTAAATGTTAGCAAAACGTCTTGACATAAGATTATAGCGATACTGATTGTTTTGATTCCTAATATTGGGAACACTTGACTCCCACTGCCGATTCTGCGACAGGATTTCGATGTGAAAGTTTCAAAGGCAAAAAAATATCCTCATTGCTAGAATATTACGTGACTAAACTTAAGATCTATGTCCAATTATAGTTTAATTTTGTAGGTGATGAGTTTGGTTCTACATGAAACAAGTCGTCGGAAACAAATGGCGGGATTCGTTTTTCCGGCCTTCGTGTGGGCTTATGTAGTCAACGGATAACTATTATATGCAATTCCAGCTTTAGGGGACTTATAAGTGAAGTTGTTCAGGTGTTGTACTATGTATGTGATAAACACATTTCACAGTACTGTACCTTTAGCATCAGCAGGACTTGTAAGAACGCTTCCTCGGTTTTCCAAGAATTTAAGAAGGTCAACGCTATGATAATTGATACACAGGGATATCGCCGTCTCCTTTGAGGTCGGATTGCAGTAGTCAATACTGGCCCCAAGCTGTAGTAGGTATTCCAGTTTGGTCATGTCTCCTTCGATCACAGAGGCCAGAAACTGTTCGTCGACAGAACGTTGAATGTAGTCCTTCAACGGAATGTTGTAGTTGAGATCTGAGGAAAGAAAGTCACGTCAGAAAATAAACTGCTAAGTGTCCAACGGGGCAAAAAAATAACGGCTATTGAAATACGTGGTGCAACATGGGAAACTTGGTGCCTAGTTTTCAAAGTAGGGTCTTGACTTCAAAATATAAGCACGCGAAAGCTTATTTTAACTTACTTTCTAGTTTTCCGATTGGATCAACAGATGTTCTCGACCGCACCAGCGAGGCACCGCGAGAAATGAGATAGTGCATTAACTAAATAAAAAAACTTCGTTCAATTTCCTATCAATTTCAGACGATATTGACAGCGAAAACTAAAGTAAAGTGAAAGACGAGCTTTGCTGGAATGTCTGGGTTTATTCAAGAGCAAGTAGGAAATTATAAAGAATGCTATTCCCCTCTCGATAAAACATACTTGCATTAATAATTAATACGATTGGTTATGAACAGATTAGTTTGAAACAGATATTCCAAAGGCAGCAACCCGTGAGTATATACTAGCTTGAACGTAAATACGGTAGTAATTCAAAGTCCAGAATTCCATAATATAATCTTATCTTAAATCAAAAAACCTAACCCTTAAACTCACCCAACTACTAATCCTAAAGGATTAGATTAAGGAATAAGTTCGTGGATTCTGCACATGGAATGTGGTAATAACTATTAATCCGAAGTATGCCGACCTTAATCCTAAATCTAGCTTTATTTTCAACCTAATCTAAAGGATTTTAAATCTATGTATTTAGGATTTACTAAACATGGAACTATTAAGCAATGATCAATCAAATTTGGGTCTAAATATTCCATCGCCGTTGGTTGAAAGGATTTACCTGGGCATTTCCAGAGTTAACAGCAGCTTTCAACGGAGTTATGCCTTGATACGATTGGCAGTCGATATGCCCTCCTTCTAAATGTTGCTCTTGTACAGTAGAAAGGTCACCGGCCGCAGCAGCGCTGAACAATTGCTGAGTTCTCAAGCACTGTTGTAATAATCTCGAGATCTGAAGAAGACCCTGTGCAAAAAGTGAACCCTCAATCAATGTTAAGATGATTTTCTTGAAGGAGTCTTTGTTGTAAGGAGCAAGGAAAATGATGAATAAAGGAATATCAATATACAATTTAGGAATAAACAAAAAACAATGAATGCCAAAATGGTAACTATGACAAGTAACAAATTTTGTTACACACTTTAGACAGTAGCTGGTGTCTTAGCAAGATATGCCTATTCTATGTGTGAAAGATAACCGCATCTGAAACAAGTTGTTTGCATGCCGAAGAACAAGAAAGCTCCTATTCATTTTTTTTATGCAGAAAAACATGAACATATAGCCATGTTTCTGAATCAATTACGTCCGTTCTGTGGCATAAACATATTTAATAATGGGCTGTAGCAATTCTGCTAGAGCTTCCCAAATTTCACCGTATTTTTCATCGTGAATAATTGATCTACCTAACTATAGACACTCAGGTACACGGAATCAAACTCTACCAAGTTACCTTGATGCGGGCGAGATCAGCCATCGAATGTCCTTGGTGTTTGACAGAGCAATCAGCACCAGCTTTGACCAACAACTGAACCAACTCTAAATCACCCATTTCAACTGCTTGATGCAGATGGGTGTCACCGTCTGATCTCATTATTTCTGGACCGGCACCCATCATTAAAATCTGTTTTGCTGCAGCCAGGTCGTTGTTCGCCAACGCTAACTGGAACGTGAAAAAAAGGGTTTCGGGTCATTAATTAAGGTAAACTCGAATAAAGCGCGGTCATTTTAGGTATGATGAAACGGAATCGTTCCTTGACCAAAAAAAATTTATTTTGACAAACTTTTGAGCACTAGAATGCGGTTTTCTATAGGCGAAGAAGATGACCATGGTCTTGTGATCGAAAGGTGGTCAAAACAAATTATTTTGGTAAGAAAACGATTCTGGTTTACCATTAATTTATTACTTTGCATATTTATCATTAAAAAAACGAATACAGAAGCACTATTTATCAATTAGTCGCCGAAGGCGAGGTGATTACAAGCCTATATCCACTGAGCCGAAGGCGAAGTGAATATAGGTTTGTAATCACCAAGCCTGAGCCGAAGGCTATTTGTTTTAGCACAAAATTTCATAAAAAATTAGAATTACTTGAAAGTTCTTATTTGAAAAACCACAACAAAAAGCTATAGTCACAACCACTTCAGAGACAGTGAATCCTGTCCAATCAAAATGCAGGAAAATGAATAGTCAACCACGCCTTTAGCAATGGGTGGCCACAGTGAAATAGACATGAACTTACGTGTAAACTTTGAGTCATCTTTGCTCGAATCCACGAGGCTAACTTTCTAAATCCTTTACTTTCAGCCAACAATAACAACGTGCGGTTTTGTTGGTCAGCGCTTCTAAGTGTTGGTAAATTCTGTGGGCAGTGGTGCATGAGGTAAGACATGATCTCTGGATTGTCCTGCGCTGATGCCAACAGACCAGGTAAGCCTGAAAGTGAGCCGAGGATAAAGATGATTAGTAAACAAACATCACTCAAAATCACAACAGGAACATCGAACTATTGCTTACCCAGTGGACGTTCAGGTGCACACCAGTTCAATGTCGCTCCACATTCATGCAGAGTCTGCACTCGTTCCAGGCTCTCGAGTTGCACGGCATTCCACATTAGCTCATTCAGTTTGTTCGTCAGGAAGTTCACGACGTCCTGGTAGTTAATTCGACCGGTAAGCTGGGCTCGTCGTTTCTCCTCGACCGGACTAAGCACCTCTTGGTTCAGTTTTGTTAATTTTTCTTGAGCGTACTGAAGAGGTCGCTTCATCTTGCTGTCAACATAGCGAATATCGGCGCCTTCCGCGATGGCTTCTTTGATCTGAATATCGGTTGATAAAATGAAATGAAATGAATAGGATATGTACAAACAGTGTTGATAGGTTGATGTAAAATGTGTTCTCTTGGATCATATATTTTGCTAATATTTAACACCCTGGTCAGAAATAGTCACAAAATGGGCTATTTTACAGTAAGCAACATTGCAGTTGCTCTCATTTAGGAAAGAAATGAACTATTTTTGAATTGCATGTAATCAAATTGACTTTTCCGTAGGGGCTGCGACTTTTTTTCGGGGTCAGGCCCATTAAACACCCGGAATAGGCTAACATACGTACCCCACCAGGCCACCAATTACTCCGTGGCAAACCCGTCTCTAAGATTATTTTATCGCGTACCTGAGTTGGTTTCCCATTCTTGGCTGCGTCCATTAGTTTTTTGTTAGTCTTCTCGTTTCCTCGCAAGATAATTTGAACCTTTTGAGGTGGGTTGGGATCGAAATTGATGGGGGATCGGAAGAATTCAAGCTTGGGAGGTGGTCGTTGTTTTGACGGGGATTCCTCCCAGTCAGGAATGGCGGTTAAAAAGTCAAGGTGTTCAAAAATATACACTATGTTCTTGTTCGATGATTCCAAGGCCAGCTGGGAGACAGAGACGCTCCCTTGTTCGTGGTAAGGGTTCGCCCCGGCATGAAGAAGTATTTGAACAAGTGGAAGATTGCCGCCTTTCACTGCCAGTAAAAGAGGCGTGTTGCCACTTGTGTCGGCGACATTCACCGAAGCGCCTTCCGAGATTAGGTAAAGAAGAACGTCCTTTCGACCTACGAAAATGAAACAAAGAAATTAAATTAGGACTCCGCGGGGGTGGGGGGAAGGGGGTGCCGGTTTTCTTGCAGCAAAATAAAAATTGCTGCAGTCCTAATGCCTGCATTTGGAACCTTGGACTCAATCATAAAAAATCATTACACCAGTTGAGCAAACTGTGTTTTGGGCGTTTTGTGAATATACTTTTTAATTTCCTGCGGTTTTCACCCATATATATCCGCAGTTCATCATTATCTCTGGGAGTCTTATTTTTGCCATCTGTTGTCTTTAGGTGACAAAACAAAGTATGAAGAATATTTTAGCAAATTCACCGCGGCGTACCTGTCTGTACAGCGATAGAAAGAGCAGTTTTCCCATCTTCACTTCTTATGTCAACATTCGCTTGTGCGTTACACAGAAGTTTTGCGACCTCGACATTGTTCTTGTGTGCGGCCAGAAATAATGTCGTCCAACCTGGAATGCAAAGGGTGAAGTAAGAAGGGTTCGTCTGACTTTACTTCAATAAAGGAAATAATCCCAAGAAGATATCCTGAAAACAATTAATCCCAGCAAGCCGCAAAAAGGATAATCTAGGCAGGAAGTGCAGTTTGCAGGAATTGCATCAAAATTTAGTACCTTTTTTCACCTGAAAGTATATGCATCGATACGAAACTTCCTCTGACTTTCTGGTTGTCCGTGCATTTGGACCTCTTATACCCTCTTACGTACCTTCATATCCTTCCAGGTGACAAATTTCATCCACGTATGCTCCACAATTTTCCAACATCACTTTAATTTCCTCCACTTCTTCATCGTCCACGGCTTTCCATAGATATTTTCCCAACTCCTCTTTGATAATCTTCACTGAGCCAGGAAAACCATTTGCTGTGGGGTAATGAAGTAATTGTGAACATGTTATACTTTCTTAATCCATCAGTTTGGGGTAATTTTTTTTCTGTGGAAAGCCATGGAAGATGATTGACATCAATGTCCTGCATATCCAGTCTAATAAATTGGCTAAAATCACTTCCATTTTAACAAAAAACAATCTACTTATTTATATCGCGCAAACAACAATTAAGTTGCCTCCAATTGAGCATCACAACAAACCATGTCATTTGAAGCTATCAGCTTTAAAGAGTCTGTTGCGTACGATTTTGTAGAGCAAGCATAACTACCTTCTGCATACTGCAGCAACATGTTCTTTCCACGCTTGATGTTCACTCCTGCTTCAAACAAACATTTCAATGTCTCTTCGTCTCTGTAGACGAGAGCCATCTCCACAGGACCGGTGCCTCGCTTGTTGAGAACATTGGGATCGGCATGGTAGGTGGTGATAAGGTTCATTAGAACCTCATTGGAACATTTGTATTGGACGGCCAACGAAAGGATGCTGTTACCATCCGCATCCACACTGTTTACCTGAAACGAAATAATATCCGAGTGAGAAATACTTCATTTCTCCCATTTAGGGGCTGACAATACTATCCCATATGACTTTGATGAAAGAGCATGTGCTTATCTTGTCTCTTTATAGATTTATCCCAATACCCTAAAATTATTTCACGCATGCAGTGGCGGATTACAAATTGGAGTATTTGGATCATTTCACCCGTATAAATTTAGTTATGTATAAAATTCGAGAGTTTTTATGTTTTTAACATAAAAATATGACCGGGGATATAAGACAAGAAAGAAGAATGTGGAAATCAAACTCGTATTTTATGGTAAATATATTTTCATGTAACTCGTGACGAGATTTTTCACAGTCATACCATTACCATTCGTATAGTACTAGTATGCACATTTTGAACAACATAACTTCCTGTATATTCTGGTTTGATGTCAATCATGATCTAGAAATGGTCTGAGTGGAAGTCATGGAGTGCAAATGATGTTATGAATAACGAAACGACCTACCTGGACACCTTTGTCTAAATAGCTGCCGATCTCTTCTGATGTCGTTTCCGCCCCACTTTTTTTTATTTTTTCTCGCAATTCCTTTACCATGCCAACTTTATCCAACATGGCGGTCAATCGCACGTCATTACCACACATGTCTCGCGCGGTCTTGTTCTTAGCGTTAACTTGCGATACGTCAGCGCCGTGGCTTAGCAACACACCGATGACTTCCACGCGTTTCTTCATCACCGCCATCATCAATGCCGTGTGTCCGTCGGATCGCTTGAAGTTTAAATTGATGATGTCACGACCGAGTTTCATGAGGGCCTGGATGCGAGGGAGATTACCCGCTTCAGATTCTCTCACCACGACAAAATTAATGTGATCCTTTAGAGCCTTCGCTGAATTGCCGTTGTTTTTACGTTGTGCTTCGGCTAGAAGATAACCAACGTTAGTTTTGCCATCGGGTTGAATAGCTTCTATGTACTGTTCGTTCATAAAGTTGTTGCAAAGCAGGATTGCGACAATTTCTGGGCTATCCTTGGCCGAACCAATTGCCTGGAAAATGACCTTTCCATCTTGATACAGATCTGCACCACTCTCGGCCAGGGAACGAACGCGATTGACATCGCCTGCACTTACATCGGTCAAAATCTGTTGAGGATAAAACGAGTTTATGTACGATTTTTTAATTTTGATAGATTAAGATCAGTGGACAATTATGAATGCTCTGCATGGCGCCGTTTGTGTAAAAAGGCAGTAGACTTATAACTATGGTTAGTGCCAGAATATTTAATTGGCCAATCAGAATATTCATGTTTATATACCGTAGAAACAATAGCGTACAAAAGAAATTAGTCGGGCATAAGTGAATATACACCCCCTCAAATTAAGCTTCTAGCTAAGCCCCCGATCAAAACAGCCACGTACTACTTTGAGATTCATTGAAGATACGTACCGATGAATTTAGTTTCTTTTCAATAATTAACTTTATTTGTCCGTAATAATACAACTTTGCAGGATCACTCGCATTGGATTGCTCGAGTTCTCTAACCATTTTAATCATCAGCTTGTTTTCCTTCTTGAACGTGATATCAGCTCCAGTTTTAACTAGTTTATCAACTTTCTTTACATCCCCTTTCAAAGCAGCCTGCCATAGGTCGTTGCCTTTAAAACCAACTCTAAATGCGACTCCAAAAAATATTTAAAAAGTAGGATTTTACTATCAGAGTTTACAGGAAAATAACAATATAAATATTCACGTTAGAGATACTAAAACTAAAAAGCCAAAATACTGATTTTTCATATCAATTAATGTAGTACCTATATTGAAATACTTTCAATTAAGGTAATAAAGAATTCGACATCTTGCATGCATGAATATTTTTAAAAATTCAATTTCCAGTGACTTCTAAATTCATGAGTTTAATGGCTGAGATAAGTGAAAATGAAAATCTGCGGATTGCTCTAAAACAAAATTTTTCCTTATTTGAAATAAGACGACTTTTTATCGCACTCTTAACGACTGGATAAAATTGCAGCAGAGAACGGGAAACAAGAAAAGAGGATGCGTGTTACTCCAGCAATTCAGCAAATCTCTCTAAATTGTTGATTTCTACTGAAGACATTACAATTCATTGGTAATCGATTTGCTGTAGCCCATACATACGTTGGGCAACGTTCACCGCGTGGTGAGGAAAGAACAGCTCTTGAACCACAGTTTCGAATCAGTGAACTCAAACACAGTTTCGTATGGGGAACCCTGCTCCGTGACTTTCTTTCAAAGAGTAGTGAAAGAGGGATGTGAAAAGGTAAAGGAACCATGCACACTGCACATTAAATCACAGTTAATAGATGAGTTAACATATAATTGTGGATCGAAATCAAAATCTTTCACGCACAAGTTCATGTAGAGTGGAGCAGTGGGGTTGTTTCAACACAATTGAATCAGAAAGATAGCTCCATTCGCTTTCGATTTTTTAACTCAAATGCTTCTCTCACACATTTAATAATAAATAGATATATAAATATTTAAAGAAGCTGTGGCTTCTTGAAGTTAATCACCTGGGAATGTCTAGAACTTTACGATGAAGGCGCCTCGCTTCCGAAAAAAATCATGAATTCTTTGAACTAATGAAGGGGTATATTAATTAAAATTTCTACTTTGTGCTCACGAAGCCATCGTTTGTAACATTTTTCAAAAAAATCAACAAAAACTGTTGTAAATGGAATAGAATAGACCGTTTTCGCTTGCATGCGTCCCAGATGTTTTGACCAAGGAATGAGCCAGTAAAACGTAGCCATTTCAGACTATGTGATTTGAAATGGTTAATTTGCATACAAATTTAAAAGGTCTATAAAAGCCAAATCTGATCACGCTAATGACTGCTTCCTTTGATTTCTCAGCTATGAAAATGTAAATTTTTGGCCACGTTTACACTACAACTTTATGTATAAAACTTTACACTGAAGGAGAATCCCTAGCTGCAAAAAATAATTAATTATTTGAACTAATGAACAAATAATAATTTAAGGAAACTTACTGCTTACGAAGTCATCACTTCTAAAATTTTCCAAAAACATCAAAAAATAATGTTGTAAATTGAATTGAGAAGCATTATACGTGTCAAACTTATTATTTTAATAAATTGTTCATAATTTACATTCGAATCACTAGTTCCGCATCAATTCATATTGCCATAGTGATCGTTTAAATCTGTTCATGCAATATTGTAAAAAATATAATTAACACAAGAAATGACTTTCAAATTAAAATCCAAGTTGAATTGAAGCCCCATTGAGGGACTTTGTTGAAACCAACAGACAGAATAATTGGTGAATAATTGACAGGGCGTCCCTGCATCGAAGGAGATATGGCTGCTTGCATATGCACTAAGTGCTATGAAATGAAAAATATACGGCATTTGTTTGTCAAACAGAGCTTTGCCGTAATATTTGTAACGTGATATTCTTCTAATTCCTAGAGGTATATTTCCTCGAATCGATTGACAAATCAATCGAAACCGTTTTCTGCGAAATTCTGCCTATATTCGCAGAAAGACAGTTCCCCGAACACCAATTCCTATTAACAAAGCAAAGCCAATTTTCTTGGGATGGTAAATTACATTCCATCGCTTTCGCTACGTCTACGATAAACACAAAGTAAACATTGAACCAAGATAAATTTAATACAGAAATACAATGCTAAAATAGGCCCCTTTCGTACAACAAAATATAGTGCTCGACGGTTACGTTGCGACAAAACAACCTACATACAATAAACATGCATATAGCTATATATATATACACATTAGATAAAAAATCTGTCCGGATTTCCAAGCTGTACGTATTTTAGAAATATGCTCAGAATTTGACCCAGATATCTAAGCAACACAAGTACTGTTGCTGAACTTGAATCTAGCGACAAAGTGCAACTATCTCGTAACTATCGATTGTTGTATGCAAAAACTTTACTTTCTAGTGTAGTAGCGATTTAGTATACACTAAAAATCAGTCTTTACTCTAGTGATTTAGTAAACACTAAAAATAACCACGTGCAGTTATAGTAAAAATGACCTACGTATACGCTGTTTGCGACCACTTTCGTCAGTTTCGTGATATTCATGCACAGACCTGTTTCATCCACAGCTTTGATCCACATCATAGTACTTCATTATTATTCAGGCATATTTTATTTGGTTTACTATCGCGAAATTTCTCTCGAGTCGCCTTATAAATCAGTTTTATACAACCCTATATCTATATGTACATCCAAAATACACATGGAAAACCGTGTCTTCAGTCGAAGACCTAACTTTGTAGCAAAACATGCGAATTTCAAATGTAGAGTTCAAAATCACATTCGGCACGTGAGCAAATTTAGTACAGGCCAAACCGAGCAAGAAATCCGCATGAGAATCAGGAAGTATTCATGACTTGTCATAGCCACCGATTATCACGAAGATTACATGCAATTTACCTTCCGCAGCCATTTCCCCAGGAAGAAATTCTTGGTATATTCACTCTCCTCTTTCCTTGATGTGCAAGAATGCTCAGTTTTGCTTTAATACCGTGACCTCTTCGCCTTATATAAATGCAAGATAACCCGCTGTGATTTCCAACGTTCAGCTTCAGTCGTCTCCAATTACGAGTCTACAAATATCTAGAGTCGTTTGTACACACGAGAAAATTTAAATATCCGTATGCATGAATACAGAACGACGCAATAATAATGAAACAGGAATGTTCAATGTTGATTATCGAGAATGAAAGGGATGGCAAACCAATTTGATAAAACAAATACAGTAACCGCTAAACGGAGGACAAAACGTTTAAAGTTTCATGGATTCCACGAAAAATTAACAATTAACAACATATATTAAACACATTTCATCAAAACGGAAATAAAAGCGAAATACATTTAATCCCATTTGCTTAATTGGTAAACAAGAGCCCCAAATAGCTGAAGCTCAAATCAAAAGTGAAAGAAACGTAGGTTTCAACCCTATCAGCACTTGCCGAGATTTTTTTGTATCCGTATAAGTATTTGAATCATGGACGCTACATTTTGTTTGCGGTTACGCCTTGAAAATGCAGATGGCAATGCTTAGAATGAGGTATTTCTTATTAGCCAGCAGCTAATCTGCTTGCAGCTAATAGATTAGCGACGTTATTCTCCATAGTATGGGTAGTGGAAGCCAAATCTGAAGCCAAAGCTAGTAACTGCGTCCTTCTTTTAAGCTTTTAAAATGTAAATTTTAGGCGACGTTTAAACAATACAAGATTGTTATCGCAGAGGCTAAAATTCCTTATATTGTATTGGGACGCAATCAAGGTTTTTAATGTCAAAATTCCAAATAAAAATGCCAAGTCTATCAAACTAATGAGAATTTGCTAAATGGCAAATGAAGATATCGTTACGAGCGAATCCAGTAGATTTTAAGCGGAATCTCAGACCATCAAGCACGTGTTTGTGTCCCATGATGCTGCTGCAGATATTAGTTAATCTAATACACTTCTCATGGGTTATGACTCACGAACATCACTTTCGTGTCGGCGTGAAACTCAGTAAAATCTAACCGCACATGGTGAATTATCGACTGAGCTAGCAAGCACGAGTAACCTTTACCTCAGCTGATAGCTCTAGTGTGCTGTAGGCGTTAGTTATAGTAGTTTAGATCTAGTCACGACATTAAAGTGTTGGACGATATAGACTTACGGGGCGCATACGGTAAACGTACGAATTTGCATAATTTTATATCTCACGCGAAAGGCGAGATAAACTTCTAGCCTAATTCACATCCACCACTTCTCGTCAGGTAACGATTAACTGAAAACGAACCTTCTATATTCTATACATTCTATATTTTATGGACAACAGTGCTTGATGACACAAGTCTCCATATGCCCTAATTTTATCGCAATTAATTTTACCCGAATTAAAACAATAAATTGTTAGCAATAATTGAAAGCAAGTAAGAGGAACAATATCCATTTATACTACCAAATAAATGACAGTTATTACAGTCTATGTCAGTTTATGACTTTGAACTACGATTTTGTGCATTAACGTTTCTTAAAATGCAAATTGTGCAATAAATATTAATCATAAAAGGCAGGGCACTGTCCGGCCGCACAAAAAAAAGAAAAAAGAAAACGAAAATGAATAACTATCAAAAATACGAAGATGGCTGCGACCACCTATGAAATGTCATGGTATAAAGTGCTAATAATATAGTATAAATTTTAGTGCTGAAATAATTATAGTTGAAGAGCAATAAAGATAAGGCGCACTTCAGCGTTTATCCTAGAGAATGAAAAAAATTGTTATTCAAATTTTTCGTTTAAAAAAAAATTAAAATTGCCATTACCAAACAACAAAATCAGCGATAACTACAAACGTTAAGGATGCATAAGTATGCACTACAAAATTCATGATAATCAATCATAAATTCATAATCAATTGATAAAAATAATCAAAATTTAAATAATAATTAATTAATTCAAAATAGCGATACAATAGTTTTTTATAATCAACTTAAAATAATCTAAAAACTCATTTGAAGATAATAAATTCCTAAATCCAAATTAACGGGTAATCGAAATTAAATTAATTTGAAATAAACAATGCGAAAATCATCCGCGCGACTGACCACAGTACTCGTTAATCTTACTTAAAGATGAGGTAAAGTCCATTCTGCGCATATATTCCGCGCATCAACACATTCCATCAGTGGGGGAGCAACTTTTGGAATGTTAATGATATGCGATATTAGCGCGTTGTATTACAAACGGCAGTTCGGAGCAAAATTATTTTATTTTATGTCGCAAGGCGAAGAGGCTCGAATTGCGAGTCACGACGATAACTTATCTTATCATAAAGCTGCTAGAAAAAAGCAATATTATGCTGAAAGAAATGCTCCAAGAATTTATTTGTTGAATAAGGCCCGAAATGGCGAGGCTATTTGTTGTCGCTACAGACGCCACCTTCTCGCTTGTCCTACAATTACAAATATATAACGTTTTAAATAACGGCCGGTTTATTTACAAGCTTCGCTTTATATTTTCTTCAAAATATAACAATATTTTCTTCAAAATATAATAAAAAATAAGCATATTCATCACAGATCACAGCCCGTCGAGCGAGAAGAAAATAATAAAATTATAACGACGCATACGTCATGTAAAGATTATATAACCAACGTAAACAAACATTGTTATGCGCATAATATATGCTCAGAACGGACTTTACATCATCTTTAAACTACTGTGTTTTTTCGGTTACGTAGCCCGTGTACATTAACTATTGCATAAAATTTAAAATTTTATTTTTCGATTTTCGACTGATTTATTTCATCATAAAGATGATGATTTATTATTTATTCCATACTGAGCGTGCGCAAGCGACAAATACTAGTCCAATAAAAATCCAGCGTTTCCATTATAAAATAATATAGCCGCCACGCTCCTCGCAAGAAGCATGGTCAAGAAAGACAATACATGTTTAAACGAAGACCAATGTTGTTTAGTATAACTGGCTAGTACCGCGATAAAACTGTAATATTAAGCGGAAAAGCTAAAAATTCGAAGGTCTTTTTGAAATATTTAACATAAATACGAAATGTAGATAATAATTTTATGAAATATAATTACAGGACGGATGGTTATCGTGAATTTGGAGCAGCAACAAAGTTACAATATGACCAACTTTAGGGAGAAAACTGGGAGTGAATTATCAGGAGTGAAGTTTAAGACTGAGTAATGAAAAAAGAACGATTTATAATCTATGAGCTTTGGGCGTTTGAAAATGGTGTCTATATTAATTATTCCTAGTATTCTGATCAGTACGCAACGCCAGTATTTGACATTTTACCAAAAAAAAACTCACCGCATGTTCCAATGCTTGTATCCTTCGTTCAAGCTTGGCAGCCATTTCTTTCATTTTGGAAAAATTACTGGCACATTCCTCTTTTAATTCCTTTTCATGTTTCTTTGTATGATTCTCCATGATGTTAATCTTGTCGTCCGAATCCTTCTTGTAAGCCAAGGCCTGTGCTTCGAACTTCGCCTCCGCCGCCTTCACAATTTTGATAATCTCCTTGACTTCCGCGGCTGTTTTCTTCGCGCCCTCATCCAAACGGCGTTCCGTTTCTTCATAACGTGCATCCAACTTTCCTTGTGCTGAACGTAAACATAGTAACATCAGCGTCTCAGCGAAGGTTTTCATGCACTAGTATATGTTGTTTAGGTAAAATAGATGGAATTTGTCGATGGTTTGCTGTGAAAACAAAAGATCACGATGACACAGTGCTTAAAAATAGCCAGAAACGTGGGAACTGCATTTTCTCTGCTAACCAGATGTAAATAACGATATATTTGAATGCAGAGTTCTTGAAATAAAATTCCAGTAATCCGTCTGTACTAAAGTACAACAGGTAAGCGCCTGAGATCCTAAGACAATAGACGAACAAACAAGCAGTTTCCTTCGTGTTTTTAAATCCAATTTGATTCCTCAAAATTCCGTTTTCTAAGGTGCAAATTTTCAGACGAGGAGGGTCTTTTAGTAGTTTAGTCTTCCTATAATTATTTGTTAAATGATTTAAAACGTAGTTACCATAACGGTCTGGTATAAAGTTAGAAAAATAGAGTTACTTTAAATTGCTCTAGAAACAAGCTCGAACTATTCTAACTCACGCTATTTTTCATAAGACGCTGTTTAATTAATACGGACCGGTTGCGAACTTACATTTTCGAAAGGCCTCGTCGAGTTCTTTTTCTTTCTGACTGAACTTTTTTTGCATCGTCTCGAATTCTTTCCTCGTGTCCGCTTGCATCTTATCAAACACATTCTTGAAGTGATCCTCCATTTTAGATTTCAATTCGTTGTATTTTCCAAGTAGCTGGCCTTGGTAATTTGTAAAGGTTTCCTGGTAAAGTTTCGTTTTTTCTTCGGCGATCTCTTCGAGCTGAAAAAAATGAGTAAGTATATTTGTAAAATGAGTAAGATAATTGCAATAATTGCATAATTGTGTTATGACAACTGCCTAAAAAAGACCAAAAATTTCTTTGACGTTTCCACGGAGGAATTTCGTTTTAAACTATAATCGGCATATTCGTTTACATTTTTACCTTTTTTAGGCAAAGCCCAACAGAATGTTTATATTTTTAAAACTTCGTGTAAAATGGTAAATAATGCACCTTTTTGCCAGAAGTGGCTAAAATTTATGCATTCTGATTGGGTTACTGAAAATGTAAACAAACTTTCTGATTGGTCTAAAACGAAATCCCCCCTTGTTGTCTACATACATATATAGTCTCTCACTTACACTATCAGTCCTGCGTTCGACTTTCTCTAGTTGAGCTTTACTAACATCATTTTTCCAACAATTTTTCATTTTTCCATCAATCTTTCCCGGGGCAAGGTGAAACTGGCCCCCACTGCCCGAGCTAGCAGACGCTCCTCTGATTGAGGACACAGTTATAACGTCTTCGTCAGGAAACAAATCGCCTTAAAGTGTATCATTAAAACTCAATTAAGCTACTTTTAAGCTACGAAGATTCGGATTTCATCCTATTTTAAATAAACCATACAGAAAAATGAGAAGATTTTCTATTGTGAAATAAATTCCAAATTATGGACTACGTAATTGGTATGCTTTGACTGTATTCTAAAAATAATGGATAACAAAAAATTTTTGTTAATGTCCTATCAGGTAAAAAATCTAGAAACGTTGTTGCAAAGGTATTTTCTTTCACTTGAAGTTCATACCTTTTGGCTGAGGCTTTTTCTCATCTTGGCGTTCCAAGCAGCGTTCAGTTGCGGCCATTTCAGTTCCGTAGCAATATTTAAACACCGAAGTGTCTGTAAACTCTGCCTCGTACACATTCCCATCACGGTCAATGATGCCGCACTTGAGAAATATATCTCGCAGCATCCATGTCTTCTTCCCATCCTTCTGTAGACTTTCGGCGATCTCCACCTACAGTTTGAGAACGTTTATTGTCATTACAAAGGCAATGATCGAAATTGACCACAATTCTAAAGATAAATTTTGAAATTGTGGCCACTGATTGGTCAGGCAAACTCGGATTATCGTTCGTTAATCACTTAAGCGGATCTTTCAAAATGGTGGCGACTTTTGTAACAATGACATTAAAATAAGCTGGATCATAACCTTGAGTTTATGTCAGTTTACCTCAACAAAATTTGGTGGAACTTTACTCCCAAGGTACCCATTTCCGGTCGGACCTTTGCCCGCTTTCTGTTTCCACTCCGCTATAGTTGCGGCGGCGCGTTCTTGGAGATTGGCAATCTTGCCATCTTCGGGTTTCTGAGCGACAACGCACCAGACCAATTTCTCAGCTAGTGTAGCAAATTTTGCAGCTTTTCCTGGAATCGGGCAAAAATGGAGCCAAATATCAAGAAAACTGACGAGTTTACACGATAAGATACCATCGAAATATAATTTCTCTTGTCTGGACATTCGAAGAAATTCAGAAAATTTGTACCTGTCTCAATTTCTTTTTCAATCAAAGAAATGTAAATGACGCCCACTGCAATTTGAGCCATTCTTCGAGCAGGGGAATGGACACAAATTGAGGTTTTCGATGCATCACCTTGAAAATTAAATTAAGAAATTCTATCATTGATTCAACATAGTTGAGTTTAGCCCCCACACGACCCTCGAATGAACGAAGTGGCACTTTTTGACAGCCTTTGAATCAACCAAATTGTGTTCTTGCCTAGTTGCCAGTTGGAATTATGTTAAAGTTGTAACAAAAAGAAATTAAAGTCCGAACCCAGCATTGAAAAACACTTTACTAACAATTTCGTAAACGGTGTATGTTCTAATATTAATCCCAGTTTTAGAGAATAAATTTTAGGGTAAAATTCGGATGCACGCTGCATGTCCACACTGTTCCAACAATTATACCTTCGAAAGAACGTTGCATTGAGCGGAAATATTGATATTTTCGGGCAAATTGTTCTCCAGGGTCGATCATTTTTGCAGAAGTTGCCAGCGTGAAGAAATGAATTTTGCCGACACTAAAAATGACTTACCTGGCCTGTTGCCTATACTCTTTGAAAGTGGGAATCACTTTAAACAATATGATATAATAGAACTTACTAGGCTCAGCCAGGCACGTTATTTGATCACTGTACCAAAGCGTCAATCTGTAAGCGACATCTGTACAAATGTCTACTTGTTCACCATTTGTCACAAGACCCGAAATATACTGTCCAACTTTTTTCTGACGATATTTTTCAATGTCATTCATTACTTTCGTACCAGCTTTGATGAAAAACTGAAATGCCATTGAACAGTGTGCCTTTAGGGGCTGTTTACATGAGCCCGGTTACCCGAGATTCAACGAAGCGTGAGAAGACTTTGAGATATTGAAATAAGTTTTTATGACATCAAACAAGCACATGCTATTGTTGCAGTGATTATACGTCGGCCAGAATAATGTTATCTGCTCATTTTAATACCTCAAAATCATCTCACGCTTCGTTGAATCTCGGGTAACCGGGCTCATGTAAACAGCCCCTTAGAGGGTTGTATTAGTGCGCGTTTGACATCAAGTGCCATCCATCTTTAGTGGCGGCGTGATAAAATATATAAATATATTGCGGTAGAGACTTGGCGACTTCTGAAACGTTTCCATCGAAAGCATGCATTCGGCTATTTGAATAATTTGATCTCCTATACATGCACTAATACGCGTGAAGATAAAGTAACGAGAACGCTACTACGCTCAGCTTTTATACTTATATTTGCCAATATTTCTTATACATAAAGTAACTATAGTTGGTAGAACCGGTATATTAAACTAGTAGGTAGAATGGCTGAAACATGCTCCCCAAAAAGTAAATCTTTTAACGCTATCTCTTGCTCGCGTTTAAGAATCAGTTTGCGTTTCAACTTTCGAAAATTATTTAGTTTTAGAAGAGCGAAGCGAACGCAAACGTCAATAAATTGCGCCAAGACCAGACGCCTATAAATTTGAACGTTACAAATTAAAAATATTTACTCCTGATTGACAGCGGATTAGACTAGCAGCCAATCATCAATTTCCACCCACCAGTGATTAGTGAACGGGTTTCTAAAATCATGCTAAAATACATAGCCAAACCCGGCAGGCGGTCTTTCGCCGTCGTCGCCTTGCCCGAATTTAAAAACCGCAGGCTAAAATTGGCACCCGTACCCAATTTTATAAGTGTTCAAAGCCCTGTTTACACTACACTCGATTTATTGGCACGGCACGGCTGCAATGAGTACCCGTGCTCAATTTTATTAGAGTTCAGGCTACCAAAGCAAAGGCCGGGCACTAATGTTATTGTCGATAAAGTTAAGGCCATGCATGTTACGCGATGCAATTTTTCTTGCAGATTTAATTCTAAGATGGGAAATAGTAATGAATTTTTGGAATGTATCAATATGAAAACATATGTGGAGTGTATAAACACAACACAAACGTCAATGTCGTTGAATTGCGAATTTCCAAAAAAATTGCATCGCATGACGCTGCACAAGACCATGAATTCAAGAATGATAGATTCTTTTGGAATAAATAGAACAGTCTGAAAAGTTGAATTTCGAGAATAACCTGCCAGGCACGAGTTTCGGTACATAGGAGAATAAAATAGGGAGTCTAGGAACAAGGCTTTTAAAGATTGCCAACCTTAGTGACTTTCGCTACCGTGGCGCTAACCAATGGATCAAGTTTGAAAATATCAAGGATACTGCTGACTGTTTCAATCTTTTTCGTTGTCTTTCCTAAACTACCCGCAGTTGCAATGGTCATCTCGCTTGCTACGGACTGAAAAAAACAACAAAACGGCAATATAACACTGTTCTTTGTTTCTCTGAAGGAAAGGTTTGTGAAAGTTTTGCACCCAAAAGCACCAAATACGGAGAAAATTTGGTTTCAATTTCAAAGAAAGCTACTTGATTAAACTTATTTCGCATAAAATATCATTTTTCACCACAAACCTTTGCACCGAGGAAGATTTCTTCCACACCGAGATACACAGTTCGGTAAAAATGCAGAAGGTTTATATGGATGGCTTCAAATCTCTTGGAAACTTCATAATGCTTGTTCTGCCGATTTTCTTGGGCCTCCAAGATCTTCTGCTGCGCGTGAAGAGTTTTCGCATCATCCTGCAGTGTTATCATCTCCTGCCGAATACGATCGCGTTCTCTGAAAAAAACAAGAGATTTCGCTATCATAATCATCTTTAATGGAACTTAATAAAATACAGAACATTTAAATACAAGAGTATAACATGTATTATATTATATCATGATGCAGTATAATACCTTAAAGCCTCAAACTCTTACGTTACCTTCGGGATTTTTCTTCGGAGACTTGAAGTTCCAATTGCGCGATTCTCTCGAAATACTCTCGATCTTTCGCCTTCAAGCTTTCGCGTTGTTCTTTCAGACGAGTCAACTCCTCCTGAACTCGTGTGGGATCTTCTTGGAACTGCGCTTTCAGCTGGTTTAGATCGCCAGGCAAATCCTCTTTCGCGCTTCCTGTGCCTAAATTGGTAAGTTTGTAAAGGTTTATAGAACATGTATTTGATGCAAAACTATGAATGGGCGGTAGCGGCAGCACAAACTGCTCTAGATGCAACTCAGGAATATCTTTTCCACTTGTATCCAACCTCCTACACCTGTTTTATTTCGTCTACAAGGCGAACCCCCAAAAAAGAACCCCAAATACACAATTCATTCAAACAAAATGTCTACGTTTAATCGTTTTCTTTGACTCATACAGCACAAGAGATTTCAAGCTCATTGAACTATTGTGAATAATATACTCGCATTATCGAGATAATTTCAGTCACCACATAGTTTTATTTAGGCGGGTTTCCAGCGACACATAATATTTGGGGGCAGTGAGACCAAATCCGGTAATTTGTATTACCGGATTCGGTTGAATGCACAAAAATATCCCCCCACCTGATTTCTAGCAGGAGGGGGCAATCTACTGTACTTGATTTGAGCATCTTGGGCTAAAAATGTTTGCAAATATAGTGGCACTGATCGGTTTGGCGATATAAAATACTTCTTCGCGTATCATTTCTCATTTTACTTTCTCATTCATGTTCTTGAGGAAACAATCGTAACTTCCAAGATCGTTGGGATCCAAAGCATAACCAGTGATTTTAGCGCTCAAGCTTTGTATAAAACCAGTCAAAATTATCTAAAATGGATGTTCAAATTTCTTCTTATATGAACATGTTTCGTACACTCGCTAAAATAATTAATTATTTGAACAAGTGAATGGGGTATATTAATTTAAACTTCTACATACTGCTTGCGAAGTTGTCACCTCTCAATTTTCCCAAAATATCAAAAAATAATGTTGTAAATTGAATTGAAAAACATCATACGTGTCAAACTTATTATTTTAATAAATTGTTCATAATTTACATTCGAATCACTAGTTCCGCATCCATTCAGATTGCCATAGTGATCGTTTAAATCTGTGTATGCAATATTGTAAAAAATATAATTAACACAAGAAATGACTTTCAAATTAAAATCCAAGTTGAATTGAAGCCCCACTGAGGGACTTTGTTGAAACCAACAGACAGAATAATTGGTGAATAATTGACAGGGCGACCCTACATCGAAGGACATGCACTAAGTGCTATGAAATAATAAATATACGGCATTCGTTAGTCAAACAGAGCTTTGCCGTAACATTTGTAACGTGATATTCTTCTAATTCCTAGAGATATATTTCCTAGAATCAGATTCAGAGATCAATCGTAACGGCCTTCTGCGAAAGTTCGTGCGCCACGGTTACGTTGCGCCAAAACAACCTCACATACAATAAACATGCATATATTATTATATATAGGAGATCTGTCCGGATTACCAAGCTGTACGCATTTCAGAAATATGCTCAGTATTTGACCCAGTTATCTAAGCAACATAAGTACATAAGTTGGCCGAACTTATATCTTATCGTAACTATCGATTGTTGTATGCAAAAACTTTACTTTCTGGTGTAGTAGCGATTTAGGAAACACTAAAAATCAGACTTTACTCTAGTGATTTAGTAAACACTAAAAATAGCCACGTGCAGCTATAGTAAAAATGACCTTTGATACGCTTTTTGCGATTACTTTGGTGATATTCATGCACAGACCTGTTTCATTCACCACTTTGATCCACATCATAGTACTTCATTATCATTCAGGCATATTTTATTTGGTTTACTATCACGAAATTTCTCTCGAGTCGCTTTATAAATCAGTTTTATACAACCCTATATCTATCTGCACATCCAAAATGCACATGGAAAACCTTAAGTCAGTCAAAGGCCTAACTTTGTAGCAAAACCATCGAATTTCAAATGTAGAGTTCTAAATCACATTCGGCACAGGGTTGGTAAGTTACTGAATAAATAAGCCAAACATTGTTATTGGCGGCCCTTTGATTCCTTTGTTTTAAACAAAAAAAACAAATGTTATGTTAATATATTTGGCTTATTTATTCATAAAATCTACCAACCCTGATTCGGCACGTGAGCAAATTTAGTATAGGCCAAACCGAGCAACAAATCCGCATGAGAATCAGGAAGTATTCATGACTTGTCAATAGCCACCGATTATCACGAAGATTACATGCAATTTACCTTCCGCAGCCAATTCGCCAGGAAGAAATTCTTGGTATATTCACTCTCCTCTTTCCTTGATGTTCAAGAATGCTCAGTTTCGCTTTAATACGGCGACCTCTTCGCCTTATATAAATGCAAGACAACCCGCCGTGATTTCCAACGTTCAGCTTCAGTCGTCTCCAATTACGAGTCTACAAATAGAGTCGTTTGTACACACGAGAAAATTTAAATAACCGTATGCATGAATACAGAACGACGAAATAATAATGAAACAGGAATGTTCAATGTTGATTATTGAGAATGAAAGGGATTGCAAACCAATTTGATAAAACAAATACAATAACCGCTAAACGGAGGACAAAACGTTTAAAGTTTAATGGATTGGTTCCACGAAAAATTAACAATTAACAACATTAAACACGTTTCGTCAAAACGGAAATAAAAGTGAAATACATTTAATCCCATTTGCTTAAATGGTAAACAAGAGCCCCAAATAGCTGAAGCTCAAATCAAAAGTGAAAGAAACGTAGGTTTCAACCCTATCAGCACTTGCCGAGATTTTTTTGTAACCGTATAAGTTTTTGTATCCGTATAAGTATTTGTATCATGGACGTTACATTTTAGCCCCATTTACACTACACTCGATTTATTGGCACGGCACGACTAAAATGGGTACCCGTGCCCACTTCATCCGTGCCCGGCCATTGTTTTGGTACCCTGAGCATTAGTAAAATTGGGCACGGGTACCCATTTTAGCCGTGCCGTGCCAATAAATCGAGTGTAGTGTAAATGGGGCTTTTGTTTGCGGTTAAGCCATGAAAATGCAGATGGCAATGCTTAGAATGAGGTCTTTCTTGAGGCCAGCAGCTAATCTGCTAGCAGCTAATAGATTAACGTTATTCTCCATAGTATGGGTGGTGGAAGCCAAATCTGAAGCCAAAGCTAGTAACTGCGTCCTTCTTTTTAGCTTTTAAAATGTAAATTTTAGGCAACGTTTAAACGATACAAGATTGTTATCGCAGAGGCTAAAATTCCTTATATTGTATTGGGACGCAATGAAGGTTTTAATGTCAGAGATCCAAATAAAAATGCCAAGTCTATCAAACTAATGAGAATTTGCTAAATGGCAAATGAAGATGTCGTGACGAGCGAATCCGGTAGATTTTGAACGGAATCTCAGACCATTAAGCACGTGTTTGTGTCTCATGATGCTGCAGATATTAGTTAACCTAAAACACTTCTCATGGGTTATGACTCACGAACATCACTTTCGTGTCGGCATAAAACTCAGTAAAATCTAACCGCACATGGTGAATTATCGACTGAGCTACAGAGCTAGCAAGCACGGGTAACCTTTACCTCAGCTGATAGCTATGGTGTCTTGTAGGCGTTAGTTATAGTACTTTAGGTCTAGTCACGTAATTAGTGTTGGACAATATAGACTTACAGGGGGCATACGGTAAATGTACGGTTTGCATAATTTTATACCTCACGCGAAAGGCGAGATAAACTTTTAGCCTAATTCACATCCACCATTTCTCGTCAGGTAAGGATTAAATGAAAACGAGGCTTCTATATTCTATACATTCTATATTTTATGGACAACAGTGCTTGATGATAGAAGTCTCCTATGCCCTAATTTTATAGCAATTAATTCTACCCGAATTAAAACAATAAATTGTTAGCAATAATTGAAAGCAAGTATTAAAGAGGAACAATATCTATTTAATTACCAAATAAATGACAGTTATTATAGTCTATGTCAGTTTATGACTTTGAACTACGATTTTGTGCAATAACGTTTTTTAAAATGCAAATTGTGCAATAAATAATTCATAAAAGACAGGGCACTGCCTAGCCGCACAAAAAAAATGAAAAAGAAAATGAATAAATATCAAAATACGAAGAAGGCTGCGACCACCTATGAAATGTCATGGTATAAAGTGCTAATGATATGGTATGAATTTTAGTGCTGAAATAATTAAAAGTTGAAGAGCCATAAAGATAAGGCGCACTTCAGCGTTTATCCTAGAGAATGAAAAAAATCGTTATTCAAATTAAAAAAAAATAATATTGCCATTACCAAACAACAAAATCAGCGATAACTACAAACGTTAAGAATGCATAAGTATGCACTGCAAAATTCCAATAATCAATAAACCTCAAATCGATTCTTAGTTCATGATAATCAATAATTATTTCATAATCAATTGATAAAAATTTTCAATATTTAAATAAAAATTAAATAATTCAACAATTAGTTCAAAATAACGATAGTTAATTATAGTTATAGTTATAGTTAATTAATAGTTATTTATAATCAATTAATGCAACTTAAAATAATATAAAACTCATTTAAAGATAATAAATTCCTAATTTCAATTAATGAGTAATCGAAATAAAATTAATTTGAAACAAGACTCCTGTTCTTGTTACGTGCCAGTCTTCAATATAAAGCTTCTGAACATAAAAAATACAGTTCATACTCATTTAGATGCATTGCGAACCTAAATGTTGTTCGATCGCGAAATTCAGAAGCACATCGTACTTTACAAAGTATAGAAGTT